AGCTGACAAGATCATTGTATCGACCATAGAATTTACGAAATGATGACTTTAAACGAGACTGTTGATATTCTTGTTTCATCAACTTGCTTGTCAATAATTTACCTCGTTTAAGAAATTGTTCATACGTAGAGCATGCTCTAGCATATCGAATCAACTGAGATATAAATACTCCGTATGCATGTGATGAAGGTACATTGCTGCATAAGTAAGGGAAGTTGACGATAGAAAAGTTAAAGTCATCACGTTTATCATAAAGCTTGGTTGTCAGATTACCATTAGTGTCTTTTTCAAGTAAAATATCCAAGTATGAAGCAGAAGTGTCAAACTCTGTGGTATCTTTAATCTCAAGCTCACCAGGATATATCGTGTCGACGTAGGAATGGAAATTATCATTATTAATTGACAATACGTCGTCGATATATCTAAATGTCGAGTTAAAGGCCACAGCAAGTGTTTTCTTCTTATCATGTAAAAGATTTTGCATAAATTCTGCTTCATATGAATATAAAAATAAGTCTGCTAATAACGGAGCGCAATTTGTACCCATAGCAATTCCAATAGATTGTTGGAATACCTGGTCTCCAAAAACCACATAGATATTGTCAATCAGAAACTCAAGCATCTTCTTGATGTCAACTTCAGAGTACTTATGTGTGCAATCAGAATCTGTTTTAACAAAATAATTTTTCAAATGACCAATGACGAGGTAAGTAAACTTACGAGTTCCATTTGTGTTGAAGAAGCAGCTGTCAATGATATCAAAAAGCCTGGATTTTAATTTGTCGTGGGGAATTGTTGTGTATAAAGTTGAAAAGTCGTAAGTTTTTATGCTGTTGATTTTTGTAAAGTCCTGTGATTTCAAATTGTCCAAAAGTTCTTTAGAATTTTTAGGTATCCACATCTGATTTACACCACTTCTTGAATATATAGTTTTTCTTGAAGTTTTTCCTTCACTACTGTCAATATTTTAGTGAGAAGTAACGAAAGAGGCTTGGTTGAACATTTACTGGAACCTGCAATGTATCTTTGTTTGTAAGGATTCTTATGAAGTTTCGGAATCAAATATATATAAGGTAGTTCAAATTCATTTTGGCTCTGTGGAATATTAAAAGTATTCAAAACTGACAGGTGATTTTAAAGAATTTCTTCCTTAGAAAGAGAAGTATATGTATAAGTGGGATTACCACTTGTAGAATTAAATCCAAGTTCTTCTAGAATGCAATTTATATAATGAGCCTTACAAACGAAGACAATGTTGTTACCTGCTTTGTCGGCAGGAAGCAGTACGTACTGATCGTGTAATCTATCTAATTCTTTTTTCACTTCGGGTTTATTGAACACAGAAGGATAGATGGTTTTCATTTTGCCCCTCAATCTTTTAATACGTGACTTTAACATGGATCTGATACATTTTATCCACTCTGACAAGGTGTCAATGTTTTCTTTTTCATATCTAGCCCATCGTCTGGCATAATTTTCAACAGAATCCATAATATTTATGAAATTCCGACGCCAGTTGAAGGATTGTATAAATTGTATAAATTGGAAAATTTTCATACAATTTTTGCCTCCAATTTTGATTTCCAGAGATAAATCTTTAAACTGATGATGTCATAATGACTTCAGTTGTATTGTATGCATTGCCTTTTTATGAATTCTTTTTCTTTGCCTTATTTTCTTACGAATTTTTGTGGTAATATACGGTTTTTCTGATGGATGTATTGTAATTTGCCTTTTTCTTAATCTACTAAGTTTAGGTAAGTGCATGTAAATTTTGATAGACTTCATTCATATTTTTTTAGGTAAACATTTTTTCATCCCAATTAACATTTTGTAAGTCGTTGTTTAGGCCTTGATAATTTGCATTATTATAATTTCTAATTGTGCGTTTGAAAGCATGTTGCTTATATGTTTGAAATGGGATTTCTATAGATACAGGTGAATGAGAACTACAAATGGGTTCATCGACTACAATACTCTCAACTTTGGGTGGATCATTAGTTAACACTAGGTCAATGCAAGTTCTAATATCAGTTGTAAAATTAGTAGGCTCTAAGACCACATTACTTAAATTAAGTTGTTGTAGTAGGTTTTTAAATGTATTATTCCCAGGGGATAACATGTTTACATTGAAATCGCCTAACAAAAACAATTTTATTTCTGTATCTAGAGCTCTTTCTACAGTAATTGTAAATTCATCCCAAAAATCAGACCCAGTTCGTTTAATTGAAATAGGTAATTGCATTGTTCCATAATCGTTCTTCGAATTTAATCAATCAGTATGCACGAGCAGGTTGAAATTAGTAGCGCAGTTGTAGAGAAGAACCAGAAAATATTCAGATGTTAACTCAAAAAGCACAAAGCACATTGCACGGCGGAATGAATACAGATACATATTTTTACACAGATTACCTAAAAATTTAACCCTTGTCACAAGATATATATTTCTATGTAAAATTTGATTGTTCGTTGAGCTTTATGCTCATTTAAGCTGAGAAGGATCTTAATTCAACAACTTCTGATACTGTGGAAAATGATTTTATGTTAAAATAGTATAAAATTAGACATTTTGACAATTATGTACTGTTCGTAATCGTTCTGATTGTGATGTTAGAAAGGACTTTGATTTTTGTGTTATCTAATCTGTACCCCCAGGTCGAACACTTTATGGGTACGTGACCATCAACATTTTAACGAAAAGTAAATCAAAATAGCTCCTAATAGGTAGGAATGAAAGTTAACCCTAAACGTTTGGATACTGTTTAAAGAAAGGATATTAGTCCAGAAAATATTAGGTAAGCTTTCATATTACACATAGATAGACTGATAAATTCATTGATCGGGTGGAGAGTTCAGATATACATTTTAAAGATATACAGTAAATATAAACAAAATATAACAATGAATTAAAAAGTAAAAGAATAATGTGAAAATAAGTAAAATAAACCTGTTGAAAATAAAAGGATATCAATTAACTTGGAAATTCTAGAGGCAGGATCAGTAGACCTTTTCACAAAAATTCTTACGACTAAGATTAAAATTTGACATCTCTGTAAATCCTTGGTTTAATAAAAAACTTTGTTATATCTTAAGTATAATTCACCATACACTGTTACGTAATAGAAATATAAGATTTTGAATGGCTTGCTGCAATTTAGATGTGTAGAAAAGATTTATGAAATTTTGGTCTTAGTCCTAAGATTTTTTGTGAAAGAGGCTACAGGTGCCTAGCTGGGAGTAGCATCCCCTGTTGACAAGATATACCAGCTGCATGTTGTAAATTCCTTGGATTTAGCAAGTAGACGGAATATATAGTAGTGTTAAGCCAATGGCCTAATTGTTTGAATGAAATATAAACGAGGTGCCGATTCCTCCAGCATTTAATTTCAAAGTTTGATTTGGAGAGGTTTTTTTATGAGTGCAATTATATTACTGATTATTATACTTCTGTTATAATATTTTCTATATAAAGTTCAGAGGGTAAAATAACTATCATGTTTAGTCCATACATAGCAAAGCTATTCCCCGGGATATAGTTTTTGCTATCCACCCTTGGAAAATTTTCATACAATTTTTGCCTCCAATTTTGATTTCCAGAGATAAATCTTTAAACTGATGATGTCATAATGACTTCAGTTGTATTGTGACGTCACCAGTATTTCAGATTATTCTTGCAGAATTATATTGCTCCAAATACTCAGAAATTATATTATACATCAGTATAATAAAACGCTTATCCACTGATTGTGAGTCGTATAGCTCTTTCATCAAATTCTTGACAGGAACTATTTCCCTCGGGCAAGCCCTCGGGGAATAGTTCTCTTTCGCGGGTTTGATAAAAGAGCTATTCCACTCACAACCAGTGGATAAGTGTATACTACCTTCTGCGCCCTGATGTCGTTTGATTGATTGATTGATTGATTGTATATTGTTTAACGTCCCTCTTGAGAATTTTTCACTCATATGGAGGCGTCACCGTATGCCGGTTAAGGGCTTCAAATTAAGTCCTATGCTCGGCACTCAGGCCATTGAGCAGTGAGGGTTCTTTATCGTGCCATCGCCTACCGTGACACGGGACCTACGTTTTTAAGGTCATATCCGAAAGACCCGTGACTTTCACTTCTAGCGCTGAGCGCTTGGCGAAGGAACAGTCACTACCTTTGTTTACATCTTAGGTATGACGCAGCGCCACGAACGAGAATGGAACCCGGGCCTCCCGATCACAAAGCGAACACTCAACCACTAGGCTACCGTGACCGATCTGATGTCGTTTGAAGTCATTTCATTGATATCGCCATCCTCTTTTTAATATCAACTTTTGATTTTCCTCTAAAGAAAAACTCTTTAATCTTTATCAGTTGAGAAAAAATGGACTCTTCAACGTGTACCATCACTTTAAATCCGAGTCATAATAGTTGATTTTTTTATTGCTTACAATTAATATTTTTTGTAAAAAGTTATTAACGGCCGTCGATAGTGCACAGAGACCTGGGTTAAAATTCCATAATTTTTTTTTTAAGTGATCTGTTTGAAATGATTTTTTTTAAAGAGAGTCAAAACTGAAAAAAAAAATTAATATATCACCAATAAATTTGTTTTCCCGTTTTCTGATACATTATGCATCGCTTACTAAATAGATACTAATACTAGTAGTTATGTAAATATTCAGTGAAAACCGCAGGAAATATGTTTCAAAAAATTACAGAAAAAGTGACGCCGGCCATCCAAACGGGACAGCGTCCTATAAAACAATAATGGTTAATAAGTTCGAAACGTCGTCAAACATAAAGTTTTTTTTCAAAGGACTTAAAATTTATTGGAAAAAATTTTGTCAAGTGGTTTGTAATTGGTGTATACTAATTTTTTTTGGTAAAAATTCGGAGACATGTAACAAGAGGAAAGGCATTTTGTAGGTCTCGTAAAAGACAATTCTTGTTTATTTGTTGATTGTTAAAACTTTGATTTGTTTTCATCTTCTAGAAAAGCAATAACAGATTGCTATGGCCTCCCCTTACGCGTCCACAGAGGAGACGACAAATGCCTGTAGAGCCTGTCGACTTCTCTTGGGTCCATGTACAGATGAGTTACGTGATGTTTTACTTCACCATGTACCTCTACCGACATTTCCACACGTCATCAAACAAAAGAGGAGTAATCTTCCCCGTCTGACGGCTCCACAGATGAATCTTATTTTACCGAAAGGTAGTAGTTATACAGGAAACTATCATGATATGGACATTTCCTTATTATACACACTACTTAGAAACATTTGTGGTATACCACCACACAGCAATGGCTGGGGATTTGATCCAGACCCTACAGATCTCTCTCTCTCTGCCAACATTGAGAGAATCCGTATTGGCAGAAATAAGTGTGTACATTCTTCTAGTCCCGTCCTTTCCAACGCTGATTTCAACACAATCTGGTCCACTGTCAGATCAGCAGTTGTGGACCTTGATTCTTTCCTTAGCAATGGGAACAAGTTTAAAAGAGAGGTGGATTTTTTGAGACATGAGACAATGAACCCTGTCCGTGACCGCCATTACATAGAAGAACTGAGGAAACAGGCTGAGGAAGATGCAGAAACTAGAAAAATGGTCCAACGCTTGAAACGTAATTAAGACGACGAAGCTTGACATTTAACATATGAAATAAAGCTTAATACTGTTCATATTTGTATCTGCACTTAATGCTTACTTGAAATATGTTTTTCCTTCCAGGAAAATTGGAAGAGAATGAAACTGAGAGAAATGAGAATCACAATAAAATACTGAAAATTTTTGGTAAGTACCATTGTAACATTGATGTATACATATTTATGAGCTCATAATACTGTTCTTTAAAATTGTATAATAGTCAGATTCCACACATACTGATAATCTAATATTATGAAAAAACACCGGAATCAGGTTTCCACAACCAATCGTGTAGAATGACAATTGGTGTTAACACTTTAACACGTATAAAATAAATAATGATGCATAATTATTTGAAATAATTTCAACTTTAGTGTATCTATTTGAGGGTTGGGAATGATATTTTCTTCGATTGAAAGACTCTATTACAGACATACTATGTGTGATGTCAACTGATGTCATGTGCATGTATGAATTATCATGCTAGATTTTTGTGCATGAAATACTGTATATGCTAATAGCGTATATAGAGCTAACCATTCTTAGATTTAGTCACATCTTTAAAGAAGCTAAAAAGGATGATAAACTAGTCTAACGACTTTATACACAGCACCATTATGTTGAATAACATGTATTCCGGGTTTACTGAATGTGACCCGTATGGTTCTGCGTTATATTTTATTGGTCTGCCATTCCTCGTTTTCCGGTTTAATAAATGTTCTGGTGCATTGCCGTATTGATACCTGTGTGTGTGTTGTTGTGTTGGATATATACTAACTGGCGTGGTGGCAGCGGTTATTTACGAACCCAGGCTATTTTTCGTGCATATTCAACTCTCCTAGAAGCGGACAGCAACAGCGTGATACAAAATTCACCCCGGACACTCAGGTATTGCCCTATTTTGTACGACACCGTGAACAACATGGCGAATAGGGCGCCAAAACAGTGGTGCTTGACAAAAGTAGAAACTGTCAACTCCTACAAAAACTGGAGGCAAAATGTATTATATACTCTATCCCTAGACCCTAATTTCTTACCATATCTAGAGGACGGTGCAACTTGGGGGAAGAAAACCCGCGCTAACCCCCATAAAAACTTCGTGAGAATGTCCCCGAGGCCAATCGCACAGAAAGTCAGGACACTCGAACTCATGCTCGGTCAGATCGCAAATTATGCACCTATTATTTTAAGGAACACCATAGTAAATAATTCTTCTACACTTAGGGACATATGGCAGGTTATTCGCTTACACTATGGATTTCAGTCAACTGGTGCCCATTTGCTGGACTTTGTAAACATTCAACTACAGCCGAACGAAAGACCTGAGGACTTATTTCAGAGACTCATGGCGTTCACTGAAGATAACCTCTTGAAAACTGAACTGGGTATTACACACAATGGCCAAGAAATCCAAGAGGATGAAGAACTTACCCCTACACTGGAGAACTTTATTGTACTCACTTGGCTTACCCTCATCCATCCGGATCTTCCAAGATTAGTGAAACAAAGGTATGGGACGGAATTAAGATCACGTACACTAGCTACATTGAAACCTGAAATTTCCCAAGCCCTTGATTCACTACTAGAAGAACTACGAAACACAGAAGATGCCAGAGCTATGCGTACTCAGTTTTCGTCAGTGAAAAAAAAATCACCACCGCAAGTCCAGAAATCATGTCCTCTGTGTAAAGCTTCTGGTCGTCCTTACAATCATTACCTCAGTAAGTGTTCATACCTACCCCAAAGTGACAAAAAATACTTTGCCAAGGCGAGGCAGATAATGGGTACAGACAATAACCAGTGCAGTGATGAAGAGGAAATATCATTCACTCAGGATGCCTCTGTTGCCAGGGTACAAATTCGCCAATCTCCATACATTGATGCATTTCTGGCACATCACTCTGTTCGTATTACCATAGACAGCGGCGCAACCGGAAACATGATCCGATCAGATGTTGCCAGCAATCTACAAGCATCAGTCACTCCTTCGTCACAATATGCTCACCAGGCTGATGGATTATCACCACTACATGTATCTGGTGAGACTCGACTTACCTTTAATCATGATGGGCAAGAGTTAACATTTGAAGGACTAGTTGTTGACAATCTGGACACTCCCATTTTGGCGGGAATTCTATTTATGGAGGCAAATGACATTTTAATCACACCCGCCCGACAGGAAGTCAGGATTGGTGACAACTGTGTATTCCGATATGGCACTAAAGCCCAGAAAGGACACCACTCCATTCGACTCACACAAGTACTCCGAGCTCCAGTGGCACATACCACAACCCTGTGGCCGGGAGAATACATTGAAGTCAAACTTCCTGACAATATGACTAGTCCGGACGAGTACAACACATTTTCGCTGGAGCCCACATCATGCCAAAGTTCTACAACAAATTGGCCTCCTCCTTCATTTATAGACAGTGTGGCAGGAAAAGTACGGATTGCAAATTTGTCGAATGATCCTTGTACCATTAAACGAAACCAGCACTTGTGCCTAGTGAGACCCACTTTCTCCCCGGATGTTTCTCCATATGAAATCACTACTCCTGACCCTACGCACAACACTAAAGACAGCAAACTATCAATCACACATTCTGCTGCAGTCAACCTTAACCCTGATAATACCCTTTCTCCCGAGATGAAAGACTCTCGACACATAAAGTGAGGCGTTAAATCCGGATTTTAAAGGTTACAATGGTGCCAGTGGTCCACACAAGGCTGTTGTTAACATGGGGCCAGTCCAAACTTCCTAAAAGAAAGGGACGCTTACCTCAATACAATAAACAACTTCTTTCATTACTTCAGGACAAATTTGACGAGTTGGAGGCATGTCGTGTTTTCACTAAGCCAGAGATTGTGAAAGTCAACGTCGAGTATGTAAACCCATCATTCCTAGTCAAAAAGCCACCTGGAGGCTTCAGATTAGTCACAACCTAAACAGATGTTGGGAGATACAGCAAGCAACCAACAATCGCTTATGCCTGACGTAGATTTGACTCTCGGACAAATTGCTCAGTGGAGATATATTGCAATAACGTACCTTACACAGGCATTCTATCAAATCCCTCTGGCAAAAGAATCCATGAGGTACTGTGCTGTGGTAACCCCCTCTCGTGGCGTCAGAGTTTACGCTCGTTCAGCAATGGGTATGCCTGGCTCATCAGAGACCATTTTAGAGGAGCTGACCTGCAAATTTTTGGGTGACTTAGTTAGCCGATGATTTGTACTGTGGTGGATTTACCCCTATAGACCTCCTTAATATTTTCAGAAGGACTCTTCAAGCTCTACAGAAAAATGGTCTTAACTTATCTGCATCAAAAAACGTGATCGCTCCAAGGGAAACCACAATCTTGGGGTAGATATGGCGTGGAAGTATCCTTCGAGCAAGCGCTCATCCAATTGCTGCATTAGCCAACTGTCAACCCCCATCTACTATCAGTGGCTTGAGATCATTTATTGTGCTTTCAAGGTCCTTCGACGTGTCTTAAAAGGATGCTGACAGGTTATTTCACCTTTAGATACCGCCACTTCTGGCAAGGACTCTAAAGACAAAATTCAATGGACTGACGATCTCCATAACCACTTTGAAAAGGCCCAGAAAAGTCTCACATCCAATCAGACTATTACTCTACCGCAAGCTTCAGACCAGTTGTGGATAGTCACTGACGATGCTCTGCGTAGTGGAGGACTTGGGGCTACACTCTACATAAACCGCAATGACAAAATTTACCTCTCTGGATTTTTCAATGCTAAGCTCCGAGCTAATCAGCATACATGGCTGCCCTGTGAAGTCAAAGCACTTTCAATTTCAGCAGCTGTAAAGCATTTTAGTCCATTCATCGTACAGTGACTACAGTTATCACTAAACGCCTGTGTTCTCACCGATAATAAGTGTGTGCAAGCCTTGAGAAAATGTGCCGTGGTGAAATTTCTACTAGCCCACGTGTACCAACATTCCTGTCAACTGTGAGCAGGTTTCAAGTATCTTTGCGCCATGTATCTGGTGCAGCTATATTACCAACAAATTTCAGCAGTCGAAATGCTCCCGCTTATGATAATCCCTCGTGCCAGATCTGTTCCTTTGTTAATACTACCGCCAAGTCAGTCATTCAACGAGTAACCACAGAGGATGAGGGGAGAGCCAAAATACCACTTACCACAATAACCTCATGGCTTGCAATCGAAAAGACTGTCAAGACCTGAGACGTACACATGCTCACCTTCTGCAAGGCAAGAGACCACCAAAAAAGCTAACAAATAATAGGGATGTCAAGCGTTATTTACAGCATGCAGTCATTGCCAAGGATGGGTTATTGGTGGTCAAATGTAATATACCATTCAACCCTACACAGGAGTGCATCGTCGTTCCTCGCAGCGTTCTCGACGGACTCCTTACTTCTGTACACATTTCACTGAACCATCCATCTTCCAATCAACTAAAAAAAGTGGTAAATCGGTTCCTCTTTGCACTTGACATGGACAAAGCTTATTACAACACCTCAGACAAGTGTCATCAGTGCACCGCATTGAAAAGTACACCTAAAAGAAGAACACACTTAAGGCTATATCTGTGACAAAGTCTCTATCTGTTTGCAGTTGATGTCCATACAGCTAATGAATTAAATTTCATGATTAACATATGTATGTATTATATAAATAAACATCTAATTATATAAAATCAAAGTACTGACACACCACACATGGGAGTTGAACATGGTGTAAAATATAATTTTCATGAATATCAAAAGAAATTAGTGACAGGTACACACTTTAAATTTCATAAACACCGAGCTGCAGATTTTTTGTTCAACATCGACTTTGAAATATATTGTGCATATTGTATGTATAAAGTTTGTGTGGAAATATCTTTGTTGAACAACAATGCGCTCTATATTTTCTGAAGTAAAAGTATTGTGATTTCGAATGTGTTCGATGCCTTCATTTACATTGATTAACCTCTTAGGTATGACCTGTTTAGAATTACAATAGATCACGTGAACCCATACGTCACAGGTAGTTGGCCAGGTAAACGTGTTTTCAGTAAGACATTTGTTTGCTGTTGAAAGGTACTCAGTTTTATATCGGTCGGCATGTATTGATATGTTTTTTTTTATTTATTTTGAATGAAAATGACAATATTAATTTACCAAAAGTACGAAATAGCAAGTTTTATATGCTCGCTATGATACGCGACTTTGTTTTTCATGTTATTTTATACAAATATTTACATCCGTTCTTAAAGTGTAAAATGTTCAAAAATACTATTGTGACAAAATGTTACAAAATTCTTCCATTTTATCTGGCATACTAGTGCATTATTCAGACAATATTAGATAAATATTAGAGAAAATTGCCAATTTCTAAAATCAAAAGTTTGTGAATTATTTATCTTTCTGTCATTAGGATTCTTTGTACAATATATCATCTTCCACTTAAACTCCAATCCACTATAGAGCGAAATGAATCTGAAAAAAAAAATACTCAAGTAAATCTTTTCTACAAGTGACCTAGAACTTGTACCATTTTATGCTGCATTTTCCTTGACATAATAAGTGTGTGTGTGTGTGGGGGGGGGGATATTTCAATAACTTTTAATGAACATTTCCTATAGTTTAAGTACCCCCGGTAAGTTTGGGGACCCCCCCTCCCCGGTTGCTACGTGTCAGATATATGACCATCAAGTTGATCAAACAACCTTGCAGCAATCAGGACAAGAATTTGAATAGACATTTTTTGCGTTCTATCTTGGAACATTCCCACAAAACTCCTTAAAAATTATTTAAAATGAATCCTTTCTTGACAAGGCAACTGTACATTTCGTTACCAAAGGTCATTCAGTGGCTTTAATTTATTTATACCTAAAAACTCTTCATAAAAAACAAAAAACTTGATAACCCTTTTCTCTTTGTAGTCTGTACATGTTAAACATGTAGGTCTTTTTAGGTTTTTACACATCTGAAGAATTTTCCGATCTTGTGTGTTCATATGTACCGAAGAGTAAATTAACATTCATCTAATTTTTTTTTTCCAAATCATATAAATTTTCAGAGTTTTCTATCCTTATTCGTCGACCGACAACAATATTAGCCTATAAAAAGGAGAAATAATTCTGCATGCGTGTTAAAAGATATATATTGAATCCGAAATTAAGATACTCCAGGTATATTTTCCTTAAGTGTACTAATGATATCATACTATATCAAAGCTATCGATAAAATGTAAAAATGATATATTATCATTTTGCTGTATTTTCACACAATTATAATTATATTATTAATGCATTGCAATCACAATTTTTTAAAATTTATAACAGATATATGATTTACCGCTTTTAGGTGATACTGTACTTGTAACAAATACACATGTTTCCATCCAGTGTTTAGGTATAAAAAATCATTTTACCATAGTTATGTAAACCAAAAAAAATCGTTTATTTTCATTTTTTTAACTGTTGTTTGAATTCCATATCATACTCTTTATATAAAGAAGCTTATTTAAATGTCTCCGCCCACTACAATGTAAAAGCGAAACCGAATCCTTTGTGTATGACGCTACACTAAAACTGTGATAGGTGTTAAAAAACTTTTGAGGTTCGTATAAAGTATACATTATGAAAGTATCATGATTAAATTGGAAATACTTTGTACTGTACAATAAATTTAAAAATAATACAATATCCTTTTAGTAAATCGATAAAATTCGGGAGAAATTGACATGAACTATTTGTGGAATACTCCTTTCAACAAGAACACACTTCAAGTCAACCACCTGACAAAGTTGGCTATCTGTTTGCAGTTGATGTATATAATCAACACAAATTACTGCATGTTAAATGCGTGATGTACATAACTTTCTATACACGGACGTTACTCATTGAAAATGAGCGCCATGAAACACTTCGGGAAGGACTACTCATTCTGTGTTCAGAGCTACTACCGTTAGATGGCCCATTTGCTGTAATCCGGACAGACCCCGCACCTGGATCTACAGCATTAGTCAACGACAAACTCTTAGCCAAGCATCGCATATCCATTGAAGTGGGACGTATAAAGAACGTCAATAAAAACCCTGTAGCAGAGCGAGCAATACAGGAACTAGAAACAGGAATCTTGCGTTATGATCCAATATGTCGCACGGTTACTCTATTGTCTTTGTGTTTAATTACCTCTCGACTGAATACACGAATTAGGGGTAGAGGAATCTCTGCCAAAGAGATGTGGACCCATCGTGACCAGTTCTCGCATGACCAGATCCCTGTGGATGATAACGAGCTGATTTCCAAACAACATGATATTAAGCTTGATAATCACCCACACAGTCAGGCCTCTAAACAACCTGGAAAGAGCAGTGCCCCTGGATGTAAGAGCAAAATTGGTGACTTGGTGTACTTATATTGTGACCGTAACAAATCAAAAACCAGAGACAGGTATATTGTAGTATCGTGCGATGGTGAATGGCGACACATTAGTAAGTTCAGTGGCTCCCAGCTCCGAACAGCTTATCGTGTTAAAGACAGTGATTGCTACTTAGTACCATCACAGGAAATACGTCAAGATGTGTTCTAAACAACCTACCCTCTGATGATGAGAGTGATGAGTTGCCGCGTGAATCCATGGACTTGGAAAACAGCTTGACCGAGTCAACATTCCCTTCACCACCACCAATACCTACTATTCTCTAGGATCCTCCAACCCCACTTCATCCTTCATCACCCGCAGATAAACTCACAGAACCACTGGTTTCTGAGATGATACACCCTGACAGTGCCACCGCATTACCACCTACTTGCAACGATGATGACCCGCAACCTAGACCCACCCGTGTTCGCAATCCACCGAAGTGGTTATCCGATTATGCTTGTGATTAAACCGTGTGATTTGTGTTTGGGGCATAATAATCCCCTTTTAAGTTTTAATTCTTATCAGAATTCAGTTAAAATTGTCATTGCATAAAGTATGTTGTATGATTAACATTACCTTAATTGCATTTAGTATTTTTACATTTGTGTAAAAGAAAGAAAAAGATGAAAAATGGTGACACCATTATGTTGAATAACATGTATTCCGGGTTTACTGAATGTGACCCGTATGGTTCTGCGTTATATTTTATTGGTCTGCCATTCCTCTTTTTCCGGTTTAATAAATGTTCTGGTGCATTGCCGTATCGATACCTGTGTGTGTGTTGTTGTGTTGGATATATACTAACTGGCGCAGTAAGCATATGTTGGTCTACTTTTCTCTGTTTAACAGCAATTGCAAAGTTTTAATAATCTTGTGTAAAAAGGAGATTAAATAATGAATAAATTAATAAATTAAAAGCTAATATATCAAAGTAATCTTTCTTCATTATGAACAAAAAAAAAAAAAAATAAAAGCTTCCACTTTAATGTAAAAGGTTTAGGTGCAATTTTTAGAAATTTATTTTGTGGTACTTAGGAGTGTGCATAATAGTCAATCATTCCAATGTGTAGAGCCAATTCAAATTTGTTTTAATCCTGACCAAGAAATCTCTCATTAGCATGATAATCGATTAAAAAGATTCTCTGGTTTCTTAGTCTATATCCTGGTAAGGTCCCTCTTGTTTTCACGGAAACTTTTTTAAAAGCAATATTTGGGGAAAAATGTATTTTGGGAACATGTCATTAGACCTTAATATGATGCTGTGAGTGTTTGCTCAAATAAATGAAAAGTGAAATAAAGACCAGGAAAGGATCGGGTAAACATGATAAAAAACTATCTTCTATAACGCTTTTGTTTAAAGAAGTTAAATTCAATAACCTTAATTTTTTGCCCTTCATTTTCATCAGTATAAAGTATTGTCCTCATTGGCCAACCGTTTCAAAGCTGCTTGCTTGTTGGGTGCTATCAGATCACAGGGGACTGAATTATTCTAACAAGTCCATTGGCGTCAGAAGCAAATTGGGGGGGGGGCTTAGTATAAAAAAAATCTGGTAAGTGAGGGGGCTATACCTACGAAGATATCTTCAATGCCTATAGCAAGTATGTGTTTGGAAAAAAGTGGGGGGCTAAGTCTATACTAAGTATATTTTTGGGAAAAAAGTAGGAGGGCTAAGTGTAGTATGTTCCACGATGCAAGTTTAAATGTTAAAATGCCCAATGAAAATCTTTATCAATTTGATTGCATGTGAATGTGGACGATGACCAAAATCCCTGAAAAATCTGTTGAAGTATGTTTTGGCTATTAGTTGGAAATAAAATCATACAATGGGTTTGGCTTTGATTGAAATGACTTATTTATTTGTTTCATATTTGTTAAGATTATATCTAACTGTATTGGAAAAAAAATAATGAAATCTAGCTTTGCAAAGATTGAGATTTACCACAAAATAAAAAAATAATAATTTTCATAAATACACGGTATGCCACCTAAAAAGTCTTTCTTTTTAATTATTTTTTCAGATGAAATAAGAAAACCAAAGTCTGTAATCCCTCAAAATGTCAAAGGTATGTAAGTGAATTCAAAAATAATAATTGGCAAATTGAAATATTTTACAAAAATTAATTAGCCTCGACTTGTTTCACTTAAAACAACATATTGTATGTTCATTATACCCGCACTTTCGAAAGAAAGTTCGGGTATATTGTTGTTACTCATGTCCGTCTGTCCGTCCCTCCGTCCCTCTGTCACACTTTTCTTCCCTGAACTCCTCCTACATTATTCACAGTAGCTTAATCATCCTTTGGGAGATGGTTGGGGGTGTCATGTAGATGTGCAGTAAGGTTTCGGAATTTTGATTTTGCCCCGGGGGATCAAATGGGGGTCGAAAAATGACGTTTTTTTTATACAAAAAGCCCCCTCTTCCCTGAACTCCTCCTACATTTTTCACAGTAGCTTAATCATCCTTTGGGAGATGGTTGGGGGTGTCATGTAGATGTGCAGTAAGGTTTCGGAATTTTGATTTTGCCCCGGGGGATCAAATTGGGGTCGAAAAATGACGTGTTTTTTTTTTATACAAAAAGCCCCTTCTTCCCTGAACTCCTCCTACATTTTTCACAGTAGCTTAATCATCCTTTGGGAGATGGTTGGGGGTGTCATGTAGATGTGCAGTAAGGTTTCGGAATTTTGATTTTGCCCCGGGGGATCAAATTGGGGTCGAAAAATAACTTTTTTTTTATACAAAAAGCCCCTTCTTCCCTGAACTCCTCCTACATTTTTCACAGTAGCTTAATCATCCTTTGGGAGATGGTTGGGGGTGTCATGTAGATGTGCAGTAAGATTTCGGAATTTTGATTTTGCCCCGGGGGATCAAATGGGGGTCGAAAAATGACGTTTTTTATACAAAAAGCCCCTTCTTCCCTGAACTCCTTCTAAATTTTACTCAGCAGCTTAATCATCTTTTGAGAGATGGTAGGTGGTGTCATGTAGATGTGCAGTAAGGTGTTGGAATTTTGATTTTGCCCCAGACGATCAAATGGGAGTCGAAAAAAAATGTTTTTTATACAAAAAGCCCCTTCTTCCCTGAACTTCTTCTACATTTTACTCAGCAGCCTTATCATCTTTTGAGAGATGGTAGGTGGTGTCATGTTGATGTGCAGTAAGGTTTCGGTATTCTGATTTTGCCCCGGGGGATCAAATGGGGGTCGAAAAAAGACGTGTTTTTTTTTTATACAAAAAGCCCCTTTTTCCCTGAACTCCTCCTTCATTTTTCACAGTAGCTTAAGGTTCTCCGATCCTCAGGTCACAAAAATTGAAAGTGTAAATTTCAAAACAAATGACATTTTATTTGTTCATACTATTGATTTGAATAATAAATAAAACATTTATTTGTATTGTTTCCATGTGTTTTTCAAAGATAATACGTTATCACCCACATAGGTTTATATAAGGAAAAAGAGATTTCTTCAAGGTTTTGGCAATTTATATTCAGTATAGGATGGTTACACTGTATTTTTGCACATAACAACATCTATTAGATATGTTGATATAAAATAAATTTCTAAAAACCAGGTGTATCCAACATAATAACCATGGAAATGAAACATTACATCTTTACATCCACATCAAATGTCAGAGTTATGCTTCTTTCAAGAACTGAACAACAGATGTAATAATGTTTTTTTCGTTTTGTCACTCTGGGTTTCCCGTTGAAATTCTCATTAAGTACACTGTGTACCCCGTGAAACCCTCCTCTGTTGTATGCCAACTGAATATGATGCAGAGACAGTCCAGAGAGCGACATCTTTTTCACCATGCTCTCCGACACTACTTTGTTTCTTATCAAGGGCATCAAAGTTTGCAGATTAGATTTAGAAACTTCCATCTGGTTGACAACTTGCATGATATAATCCATGCTGAAAGAATAGTTCAAGTAATATGATTCTGTGTTGTGGTACTCAACAAGTTTCTGCAGATATGCACAATCTTCTAAAGCATCATGTGCATCAAATGTACAGCCTAGTATTTCAAGCACAAGGGTCTCCAGAGTTGAATTGGATGGATTACAAGATGTGTGTTCTTTCAACATAGGAAGAGTATCACAGAATCCAATAATGCAGTCTTGTAGTGGTATATTGGAACACTTTCTCATAGCTCTGCATAAAACGACACTGTCAAATTTTCTGCAGTTGTGAGCAAATAACACAGGTTTACGTATCCCTGGTGTATTATTTAGCCACTCACGAAATGATGTCAAACACTCCTGTATGGAACATGCTTGCACGGGAACACCATTCTTGTATAAAGTAGAACCATCACAGGTAAGTCCTGTTATCCTTGAGGCTGTCTCCTGTATGGCAACTGATGGAAGCACATACTGACAAAAAGAGAAATCAGCACACCTTGCAGCCATTTGTGTTATTTCACATGATGCATCTGAAAAAAATGAACAAGTATAAGATATGAGTATAAGAAAATTACACGATATTTCTGTTACATATATTTGTAAGGATAAATAACAAATTTACCCACATACCTAAACCAGTTGTCTCTAGATCAAAGTAGACTCTACTGTATTCACCCGGAGGCAGTGGAACTTGGTGGAGCTGTTCTGGAGGGGATGGAATAGTCTCCATTCTTTCGTCAGGAATACTACTGCTTTGAGAAAGTACACCACTCTCATAAGTTATACCCTCCCTTGTTTCAGATGATGATATTGCAGATGCCGACTTCTTCTTCAGTTCAACTCTTCTTTTTTTGAACTCTTTTGAAGATATTTGTTCAAAATTCTTTTTCCTTTTCTTCATTTTTCTTTCAGCGTCTTTTGCGGTGCATGTTCCAGGAGACAATGATAGCTCTTCATGTATCTGCAATAAAAAAACACAAATTTTGAATGTTATATTTTTACATGTATTTTCATTCACTGGTGAGAAAGATAATAAATGATACAACTTTTCTATATGAAGTTACCTGAAGTACATATGGAGCTCCAATATTTTTCTCACAGACTGCTGCTGCAACTCTCACACTTGTACTTTCGGATCCTGAATAAAAATTATTCTTGGGGTTTTTCCTGGATACGATGTGGTTGAAATTTTCATTATGTTGCGTGCTTTCAAGTAAAGAAAGTCTCTCTGACTGATTAGCATATGATGTAAAAAGTTGCTGAAGGTCTTCAAACAGATTCGTGTCGGTGAGATATTTTCCATAGGGAAGATGCTTCGGTGTGTACGTTTCCTTATTTTGTAGATATCTGCACCATTTCACTTGGCATGATGAATGTTTACCATATAGGTGGTTTGGAATGGCTAGTAGGTTTTCTTTCAATGATATGGGTTCTTCTCTGTTAGAGGACACAGCATATGCAAAGCACTTTTTTATGTGACTTATAGTTTTGACACTCAGTATCCTCTTATATTTTTCTTTCTGCAAGGCATACAGATTATTTGCAAAGTTTTTGAACGTATGGTTCTTATCACTACATTTCTGCATGTCAGCATTTACCTCCAATCTTACTTTATGAATGGTACTAGTGTCGTCATCCATAACTAAAGTTTTCACTTTGTGCCCCTTGTTTTCAATACTTTTTAGGATCTTTACAGCCATGGATGGTTCCATTGATTTTGAGCTTCCCTCCCAATTCTTTCTACAATCGTGTTCTTTCTTCTCCCGTCCTCGGAGCTCAGCACTTTTACATACTCTGCAACTCTTTGCCATCACATCATAGCCTACCACCTTTCCAGTTTTACATCCAATCATTGATCCATGACCTGATAAATGGTTGATAAGAGAAAAAAAAACTTATTTATTCATTTATACATGTGTGTGTCTTCTTTTTTAACTTTTATATCCATAATAATTCAATGTTCATGTGTATTTCTTGATATTGAAATTACTTTATTACATTTTCAACAGTGAAATACTTTTAGTTATCCAGGTTCAATCAAGGGTGTACAGGGATTGACCCCAGGTTTTATTCCATACACTCTGAATCCGGAGGCCAAAGGGTGTATGGAATACAACCTGGGGTAAATCCCTGTACACCCTTGATTGAACCTGGATAATTATTTGTTTTTTATGTACCCATACAATTCTTTGTAAATATCAAAGTCTATTCAACTATGTCTCAATCTTGTATGTTTTCAATACTATGTTACTTAGCTAATCAACTATAACAATATGTTTACTATGACACTATGAAACTACAAAAAGATGTGGGCAAATGGAAAATTAAAGAAAATGTAATAAAAAGAAAAATCAATGTTTTGTAGTTGGATATGGCATTTATTTCAGTTGTGAGACCTAATTTTTTTTTTCTCATACTTTCAATCATGTTTCACACTCAAGAAAATATGAAAAAAAAATGTCCCACTTATGAAATAAATTCAATATGCAACCACAAAAGATTGAATACCCTATATTCATTTCATTAGCATACAATGACATTTTGGGGTTTCAAAACTCTTCTTTCATATGTATTTATACAATATAAAATTCATTCATAATGTTATAAAAAAATCAAATCATAAAATACCTGATAAACTATTATAATTCCTTCCACTTCCTCTCTTTTGCCAACCAGCGTCGTAAGACAGTATCAAACCACTATCACTAGAATGAATTGAAATATTTAGAAATATATAAAGTATGAAAATCACATGTATACTTATGAAAAAATATCAAATAGGTGTGCAAAATTTCTTTAGAAAATAACTGAAATATGTTACTTATAATGTGATCAATATAAACATTATACCAAATACAAGTACATATATTTATAAAATGACAATGCTATATGATTTTATGAGATGTTATGATGAATACTATGGAAGTAATTTTCACAATGAAAATATTTACCCTGATCTATGTGCCTCATTTTCCAATGCATCATTGCATGTCATTTCAGCAAGTGACTCAAATACAGGGGCACATTCTCTCTCTCTCTTTTTCAAATTGCTATGACTAAGGCAATGGATGTTGAGAGTTGAAAAGAGCTTTGTCACAACAGCCTCCCCAACTCCAGCATGGGTCAAAGCTACAATAAATTTTATATTTATAAAACATTCAT